GAGGTCGAGCGTGGAGCAGTCGACGTCGAAGCCGAGCGTCGTGCCGTCCGTCGCGTCGGGCGCGAGGCCCGTGCGCACGTCGACGGCCACGGTCGCGCCGAAACCGTCGGCGCGGCCCGTGAGCCGGAAGCTCGACGCGTTCGCCGACGCCGCGCGCACGGGCTCGTCCGCGACGATCGTTAAGATTCCGCCGTCGAGGTCGAGCACCGCGCGCTCGACCTCGGGCGGCGTCCCGTCGCCCGTGAAGTTGGACGCCGCTTCGAAGTCCAGCGCCGCGGCGTCGTTGCCCGTCGCCGAGTCCGCGACCCAGGCGTCCCCGCCGCTGAGCAGCGTGGTCTCCGCGGCCGTGCAGAGGCTCTCGCGGAGCTTGACGGCGTCGACGTCGGCGCTCCCGAGCCGCACCGTGAGCACCTCGGCGCCGTGGGCCGTCGCGAGGGGCTCGTAGGCGAGCCGGAGCAGCGACAGGCCCGACCGGTAGACCGCCGCGTGCGCGTCGGCGAAGACCGCGCCGGCGCCGGAGAGCCGCACGGACTCCGCGTCCTCGTCCTCGTCCGCCGAGAGGACGATCTTCGTGAGGTCCAGGCTCCGGCGCGTCACGGGCTCGTCGAAGGCGAGGCTCAGCGCGCCGCCGTCGAGGTCGAGGACGAAGGCGTCGAGCGTCGGCGGCGTGGAGTCGGCGACGACGCCGTAGCCCGCCGCGACGCCCTTGCCTGTGTGGAAATCAAATCTTCAACCCGACTTCAATGTGCGCGTATGCGACAGTTTCGATGCGAGCTCTTCGGCTATGCTTCGAGAACTCGACGAGAGCAATCGATTCGTCCAAAAAATCAGCCGAATCGACTTCGATTTGACCGAGCTAGAGAGGTTTGAAGTTTTGCTGGACGCGTCCATTCCACTGGTTGATTTCCACACAGGCCCTTGCTCGTGGGCACCTCCTGGAGCAGGTTCCCCGCCATGTCGGACACGGCGCCGCTCAGCGCCGCGAAGAACGTCGAGTCGACGCCGTTGCCGAAGGACGTCGCGAGCTTCATCGCCGCGAAGTCGCGCGCGCCGATGGCGACGGACACGTTCGTCGACGCGCCCGACGCGCGCCGCGTGCCCCGGTCCTCGCCCAGCGTCGCCACGGAGGAGAGGGCGATGCGCTCCGTCGTCGACTCGTCGCGCTCCGTGGACTGGACGCTCAGGCGGTCGATGTCGAGCGACGACGCGTTCACCGTCTCGTCGAACCCTAAAATCAGGACCGACGCGTCGAGGTCCAGCGACCCCGAGACGAGCTTCGGCCGCGTCGTGTCCGGCACGTAGGTCTCGACGCCCAGAGCGTCCGTCGGCAGCGTGCGGATGCCGTAATTCGCCGGCCAGGCGTTGTCCCGGTAGCACTCCGTGCCTTCGACGTAGACGTTCGTCGTGTCCGCGTCGATGGCCAATCGCGAGACGCGCTTGATCTCGTTGAGGTCGTCGGCGGACAGGGTCAGGGTCAGCGTCGCGGCGTCGTCGGACGTGACGAGCGTGCCCCGGTAGGGCGTGCCCCAGAGGTCGTGGCTCAGGCCGCCCGTGCGGTTGTCGGCCCTCTCCTGGAGCCCCACGCACGTCACGTCGAACTGGTAGGCGTTCACCGTCTCCGAAAACGTCAGATCCAGCAGCCCCTCGTCCATGTCGAGCGCGAAGCTCACGAGCTCCGGCGGCGTCACGTCGCCCGTCCACTCGACGGCCTGCTGCCCCTCGTAGATGGACCAGAACTGCGTGAGCGCGCCGTTGCCCGCCAGATCCTCCGCGAGCGCGTCGGAGAGCGCGAGGTAGGTCAGCGACTCCTGGCTCCCGAGGGGGTAGGCGCTCTTGATGGCGTTGGCGTTCGTCGCGCCCATGGACACGTTGATCCACAGCGAATCGTACACCGACGTGTAGTTCGCGCAGACGTCCCAGTGCCCCGTGCCGTTGAGCGTCGGCACGGGCGTGTCGTAGGTCGGCGCGAGCGACGGGACGTAGGAAGGCGATTCGGTAATGGACGGCGCGCCCGTCATATAGGTCGGCGCGGAGCTCGGCGCGCCCGTCGTCGGCGCGGCCGTCGTCGTATAGACGTCGTGGCAGGGCATGGGCAGGAGCGACGCGCCGGCGTTCACGAGCGACAGGGAGGCCTCGGCGTCGTTCTGGTTCGACGCCGTCTGGAGCACGACGGTGCTCAGGTCCAGCGTCGACCGGTTCACGGGCTCGGAGAAGCGAAAATGCAACGTCTCCGCGTCCATGTCGAACACAAAGGCCTCGAGCGACGGCTGCATGTCGTCGGCCGTGAAGTCGTCGACCTTGACCGGCCGCAGCTGGCCGTCGGCGAGGGCGCCGGACACCGCGCGGATGCTGTCGGGCTGCAGCGTGAGCCACGTGCTCTCTTCGGACACCGCGAGATGCCTTCGGAAGAGCACCGCGAGCAGGTCGTCCTCGGCCATAGCCACGGACACGACGCTCGACGAGTTGCTGGCGGGGAAGACGTCCTCCGTGATGCCCGTCAGCCGGTAGCGCTCCTCGGCCGACGTGAGGTTGCTCTGGAGCGCCACGGCGCTGATGTTGAGCGTCGCCGACTGGACCGTCGCGTCGAAGCTCAGCGTCAGCAGGCCGCTGGCGACGTCGAGGTCGAAGGACGCCAGCGACACGGCCGACGCCGTCGCCGCCGCGGCGAGGAGCCGCAGCGCCGCCACGGCGGGCGCCATCATGGCTGCCCAGCGGACCGCTCGACGCCTCAATGTGAAGGAAACGTTATCTTACGGCCCCCAGGACGTCGCCCTTCTCGAAGTAGAGGACGCGCTTGTCCGTCGCGACGACGCCGCCGAGCAGCTCCTCGATGGCCCAGGTCGCCGCCGGCGCGATGGCCCCGCCGAGCTCGTCGAGCTCGTCGGCGATGTCGCCGCCCTTGATGTAGAGCACGCCCGAGAAGGTGTCGCCGCGCCGGCGCGCCACGGGCGAGAGCGCCGGCGCGACGGTGCGGAAGAAGTCGGGCAGGTTCTTCACGGACCGGCCGAGCACGAGGTCGTGGTCCCCGGCGATGTCCTGGGGCGCGCGGCCCGCGACGGGCGCGACGTTGTCGCAATTTGCGACGTCCGCGCACGATTTCACGACGTCGACCTTCTTCCTGCGCGAGTCGCAGAGCGTGAAGTCGAGCTCCGGCCGGCAGATGGCCAGCGGCAGGCCCGGGAAGCCGCCGCCCGTGCCGACGTCGACGACGCGCGACGCCGGAGCGAGGCCCGCGAAGCCCGGCACGTTGAGGAGCGCGAGCGACGGCAGGTAGTGGAGCTCGACGAGCTTGCGCCGGTCCAGGTCCTTGCGCGACACGACGTTGACCTTGGCGTTCCAGTCGAAGAGGTGCCGCGCGGCGGCCTCGAGGCGCGCCCACTGCGACGCGTCGACGGTCGGCAGCGCGGCGCGCTGGGCCGGGCTGAACCAGTCGTCGTCGGTCGCATGGCTGCGCAGCGATCGCCGCGGCGTCGCCGCGATCTGCCGCCGGCCGACGAAGGCCCAGGCGCAGCGCATGACCAGCAGCAGTCGAGGCAAAAAACTGGCTCCCATGCTCCCCCCACTCGCTGAATTCAAGATCCACAGCAGCATGGCGCGCGCACACTTTGCGGCTTGCCTGCTGGCGGCGCTCGCCGTCTCGGCGGGCGCGCTCGAGTCGCGGAGGACCGCTGCGGTCCCGCTCGACCGACGACGCCACGCTGCGCGCGCCCTCGCGCTGCGCGGCGGCGCGAGCAAGGCGAAGAAGTCCAAGGGCGCGGCCAAGGCCCTGGACCCGACGGGGACGCCGGCCGTCGTGAAGCTGCTGCGGCCCGTGAACGCGCTCTGCGACAAGTACGACGCCGCCGTGGAGTCGAACCCCATGCTGGGCTTCGTGGGCCAGATGGCGCTGACGTTCGGTTCCATGCGGGCGATCAACACCGCGCTGGACAAGACGGAGAAGTCCAAGGCCACGGTCATCGCGCGCCTGCTCTACGTGGGCTTCCTCGTGCTCCACCAGGGCCTGCTGTCCTACATCGAGTCGCTCGTCGTCGCCAAGGACGACGACACGCCGCTCACGCTGCCCGGCAATCCCATGCTCGCGGCGCTCGCGAAGAAGCAGGCCGACGGCGGCGACGCCGGCGGCGTCGCCGGCGCCCTCGTCGACAAGCTCACGTCCAAGGAGACGACGGTGCGCGACTACGACCTCGACATGGTCAAGAAGGGCCGCAACTCGCAGCTCGGGTCGCTCGCGCTCATGTGCTTCCTCCACATCAAGAAGGGCATGGTCCAGCCCCTCGTCGCCCAGGCCGTCATGGGCGTCGCGGCCCTCGTCAAGGAGCCCCTCGTCCAGGCCCACCTCCTGGGCCGCGACCTCGAGCGGCCCTTCGTCGCGCCGCAGCCCGCGTGGCTCAAGGCCATGCAGGCGCAGCACGAGGAGGCCCAGGCCGCGGCGGCGGCCGCCGAGGGCGACGCAGCGGCGGCGGAGGAGGACGAGGACGACGTCGAGGGCGGCGCGGCCGAGGACGAGGACGAGGACGACCTCGAGGACGAGGAGGAGGACTTCGAGGAGGAGGACTTCGAGGAGGAGGACGACTTCGAGGACGAAGAGGAGGAGGCCTAGGGGCGCTGTGTAAAAGAGGTGTCGTTCGAGTTTCTTCACACGCCCTCCTCATTTCGTTGAACGTCTCGTTGAAGGTGTTGAACTCGAGCCTCGGTCCGTCGTCTGTCCGCAGAGCGTCGACGGCGTCGTGCCTTGTCGCGGGCAACGCCTACGAACGCCGTTTTCGACTGTCCGGCCCTGTGCCAGGCCCGCAATGAGCGCCATGAAGGACCGCGTCGCCGCACTGTGCGAGCAGCTCGGCGTGGAGCAGTCCGGGAGCGGTCTGGCCCCCGCCGTGCGCCTGTGCGCCGCGGCGGCGGGCATGACCTACGAGACAATCGTGAAGACCGTCGAGGCGCTCGAGCTGGAGGTCTTCGGCGTCGCGCCGGTCGCGGTCGTCGCGCCGCCGGCCGAGGGGACGAAGCGCAAGCGCGCGGAGCCCCCGGCGGCGGCGGTGAAGCGCGAGCCCAGCGCCGCCGCGGCCGCGACACCCGCGGCGCCCGCGGCGCGGAAGCGGCCGCGCGAGGAGGACGACGACTTCGAGCTCACGAAAGTCCAGTCGCCCGCGGAGCGCGCCGCCGAGTCCATGGAAAAGGCGAAGAAGGACGGCGCGGTGCAAGACATCGACGACGAGGACGAGGACGAGCCGGCGCCCAAGGCGCCGCCGGCGAAGAAGCAGCGCCTCGTGCCGGGGCCGGGCGGCTGCACCTGCAAGATTCTCGCGGCCGGCGGGAACTACACGCGGGCCTGCAAGGCCCCGTCCCACCGGCACGAGTGCCTCTGCAAGGGCGACGCGCCGGACCCGAGCTCGTGCCGGGCGACGGGCTGCCCGTGCACCTGCAAGGCGCTCATCGCCGCCGGCGACTACACGCGGGCCTGCAAGGCCCCGTCCCACCGGCACGAGTGCCTCTGCAAGGGCGACGCGCCGGACCCGAGCGAGTGCCGGGCGACGGGCTGCCCGTGCACCTGCAAGGCGCTCATCGCCGCCGGCGACTACTCGCGGAAGTGCCGGGCCGCGTCCCACCGGCACGAGTGCCTTTGCAAGGGCGACGCGCCGGACCCGAGCGAGTGCCGGGCGTCCGGCTGCCCGTGCACCTGCAAGGCGCTCATCGCCGCCGGCGACTACACGCGGGCCTGCAAGGCCCCGTCCCACCGGCACGAGTGCCTCTGCAAGGGCGACGCGCCGGACCCGAGCTCGTGCCGGGCGACGGGCTGCCCGTGCACCTGCAAGGCGCTCATCGCCGCCGGCGACTACACGCGGGCCTGCAAGGCCCCGTCCCACCGGCACGAGTGCCTCTGCAAGGGCGACGCGCCGGACCCGAGCTCGTGCCGGGCGACGGGCTGCCCGTGCACCTGCAAGGCGCTCATCGCCGCCGGCGACTACACGCGGGCCTGCAAGGCCGCGTCCCACAAGCACGAGTGCCTCTGCAAGGGCGACGCGCCGGACCCGAGCTCGTGCCGGGCGACGGGCTGCCCGTGCACCTGCAAGGCGCTCATCGCCGCCGGCGACTACACGCGGGCCTGCAAGGCCCCGTCCCACCGGCACGAGTGCCTCTGCAAGGGCGACGCGCCGGACCCGAGCTCGTGCCGGGCGACGGGCTGCCCGTGCACCTGCAAGGCGCTCATCGCCGCCGGCGACTACACGCGGGCCTGCAAGGCCCCGTCCCACCGGCACGAGTGCCTCTGCACGGGCGACGTGCCGGACCCGAGCTCGTGCCGGGCGACGGGCTGCCCGTGCACCTGCAAGGCGCTCATCGCCGCCGGCGACCACCCGTCGCGCTGCCGGGCCCCGTCCCACAGGCACGAGCGCTAGTCAGGGCTCTCTTCACTCTTAAGGACGCAATCACCCCGACCCCTTCCATGCCGCGACGGCCTCGGGCGCGAGCCGCGGCTTCGGCGTGCAGGCGAGCGGGACGACGGCGTTGCTCGGCGCGAGCGGCGCGACGACGGGCGGCGCCCACTGCGACGCGCCCGTGAGGACGTTCGCGTAGTAGGTCCGGCCCGTCGCCGGGTCGACGCAGGCCCGCCAGGGCGACGCCGGCGGCGGCGCGGCGAAGACCGGCGGCGGCGCCGCCGTGCGCTCGAGCGTGTCGACGTTGACGTACCACTTGGCCCCCGAGCCGGGCACGACGTACTCCTGCCAGGGGTCGACGCGCCGCGCCTTGATGGCCTTGGACGATTCCTCCCACTCGGCGAAGGCCGCCTCCTCCGGCGCGAGCTGCTCGGACGCGCACTCCTCCATCAGCGGCTCGTGCAGGTGCACGCGCTTCACGAGGCCCGGCAAAGCGCCCAGCAGCCGCGCGAGCCGCGGCGGCGGGTGCTCGCACGCGTCGTCGTCGTCGTCGCCGTCGTCGCACTCGCCGAGGAGGTCGCCCATGTCGTCGTCGCCGAAGTGGCGTCCGGTCGCGGCGTCGTCGACGACGGTCCGCCCGATGCCCATCTTGAAGACCTGGCGCTTGTACATCTTCGCCTCCATCGTGTTGTGCGCCACGAAGCGGTAGACGGAGAGCGGCTTCGTCTGGCCGTAGCGGAACGCGCCGTCGAAGGCGGCGGATTCAACGTCGCTTCAACGTGAGCGTCCCGCGCGCGGTCGTGCCGGAGCAAGCATCCACGCGGCGAGGCCGCTCCGAGCGATGATCGCTCGTCCTAGAATCAGCCGAATCGAGCGGAAAACGGCCGAGCGGGGCGCCTTTGAAGTCGGGCGCGTCGCGCCCTTTCCCGCCCTGGGAGGAACGCCTCCCGCGGAAGTTGACGGCCATGAGCGCGCAGTCGAATTGAGCGCCGGGGTCGCGGCGTCCCCGCGATGGGGCCCGCTCGCCACTCGCGCGCGCGAGGCCACCCCATCGTCCCTCGTGGGGCTGCGCCGGGTCCGCGACGAACACACGTGGCGCGGCGGCCGCGTCGTCGTCGACGGGCGGCACGATCGGGGTGAAGCTCGCCTGGCCGCCGTCGGAGCGGTGGAGCCCGCCGTGCGGCGGCGACGGCCTGGGATGGCCCGAACATGGCCCGAACAGCCCATCATGCAGCCCTTGTTTCTCTTTCGCGTGCGATCGGACAGGCAAACCTCACGATGGGCGTCAGACTCATCCGAAGACGTAATGACGATGGAGGTCCAGCCGACGTCGCCCCGTCGTCGTTTCGTCGGGGCCTCCGGGTGTGGCCGTCGTGCCGCGGGGGCTGCTCGGCGGTCCAGCGGCGCTCGGGGGCCGGCTGGAGTCGGCGACCCAGTATTTTGCCGCTCGGGACAGGCCCTCGATCACGCTTCCGTGCGGCGGCGCGATGCAGGCGCGCGTCGTCCGTATTAACGCGTGTTTGACTTTGCACGTCTGCCCCGGCGGCGTGCCGCGCGAGCTCGCGGTGGCCTGCGCGGCGTTGCCCCGCCAGGTGCGTTCAAACTCCCGCCCCCCTCCTCCATTTGAATGAATTTGTTTCTGGTAGGGATTTGCGGGCATCGACGCGGGCATCGACTTCTGGGAGCGGGTCGTCACCGGCGAGCAGGAGACGACGGAGAACGTCGTCGTCATCTACCTCACCCACGACGTCGCGGGCGTCATCGCGCTCGCGGTCGTCGAGGACGCGCGCGTCGCCGAGCGCGCGGCGTACGTCCACGCCTTCGTGGTCGGCGCGAACTACCGGCGCGTCCTGGGCCTCCGGCTCGGGACGCGCTTCGCCGCCGCGCTCTACGACCTCCTCGCGCGCGACGGCTTCAAGATCGTCATGCTCACGACGACGGTCGGCGAGGGGGGGTCGACGAAGTTCTGGGAGAAGATGGGCCTCCTCCCCATCTCCAAAAGCGGCCGGGGCGCCGCGGCCAAGGCCGCGGCGCGCGCGTTCGACAAGAAGGACATCGCCATCGTCTTCGAGGAGACGGGCGAAGACATCAACCCGCGGCGCGCGCGCCGCCTCGTGGCGACCACGGAAGCGCTTCCGGGCGCGACGATCCGCTCCATCTTCGCGAACCGCGGCGCCGCCGCCGACATCCTCGCGCTCGTCGGCGTCAAGGCGGTGCCGACGCTCGCGGCCTTCGGCCCCGCGCCGCTCCCCACGGAGGCGCTCGGCGCGAGCGAGGTCCTCCGCCGCGCGGGCGTCCAGCGCGACCGGCGGGCGCCGGCGGTCGTCTACGAGCCCGACCCGCTGCCGCGGCCGCGGTCCCGCGGCCCGGCCGCGGCCGCGCCGCCGGAGGCGCCGCCCTGGAACTTCCAGATCGTCGAGGTCGTCGACCTCGACGAGGAACGCGAGGGCCGCGCCTTCCCGCTCCTCGCCGGCTTCGCGCTGCTCGCGGCGGCCGCCGAGACCGGCGCCGGCGCGCCCCGCGCCCTCGCCGAGGCCGACGCGCCCCTCGCCCTCGCCGAGGCCGGCGCGCCCCACGGCGACAAGATGTGCGCGCGCGCGCGCGCGGAGAACCTGGCGCCGGCGGCCGACGGCGCGCCGCCGCCGCTCGGCCGCGGCCGCGCGCCGGACCTCGAGCAGTCGGGGGCCGGCGGCGCCGCCGTCCCCGCGGCGACGCCGGCGCCGGCGCCGGAGGCCGCGTCCTTCGAGGCCGCCGCGGCGCGCGCGCGCGGCCACTTCGTGCGCGGCGACGAGGTCCGCGCGGGCCTCGGCGTCTTCGCGGACAACGCGGAGCGCCGGGGCATCGTCGTCGCCGTCGTCCCGGGCGACCCGGGCGACGGCGGCGACGTCGTCACGGTCCTCTTCGAGGGGGACGAGACGACGGTGTTGGCGCACGCGGAGAACCTGGCGCCGGCGCACCCGGCCGCGCTGCGCGTGGCGGCCCCGGCCGCGCTGCGCGTGGCGGCCCCGGCGCCCGCGGACGAGGCCGCGCCCGCGGACGAGGCCGCGCTCGCGGGCGAGGTCGCCGCGCCGTCGTCGCGGCGCCTCGTCACGGCCTTCGACGAGGCCGCGGGCGACCGCGCGCCCGGCTTCGGCCGCGTCGCGCGGCTGAGCGACGCGCTCGAGCACATCGAGCTCGACGGCGACGGCGGCGGCGGCGCCGCGCCGTCGGCCGCCGCCGTGCCCCTCGGAGCGCCCGAGCCCGCGCGCCCCGACGTCGTCATGGCCGACCCGCCGCCGCGCGACGCGGCCGTCGAGCCCGACGGCGCCGAGCTCGGCGACGCGAGCGACGCCGAGGTCTCCGAGGACGAGCCCAGCAGCGGCGGCTCCGACTCCGACTTCGAGCCGCCGGCGCCGCGGAAGCGGAGCCTGCCGCCGCCGCCGGCGGCGCCGCCGGCGGCGACGCCGTCGTCCGCGCGCGGCCGCGGCCGCGGCGCCGTCGCCGCGGACTTCGCCGCCGCCGCGGCGCGCGGCGCCGCGGCGTCGCCGGCGTCGGAGTCGCCGGCGGGGAAGCGCGCGCGGCGCGCGGCGGGCGCGGACGCCGTGGCGCGCGCGGCGCCGGCGCCGCCGCCGCCCCTCGACGCGGGCATCGTGGCTGTAGCGGCGGCGCCGCCCGCGCCCGCGGCGCCCGCGGCCGCGGCGCCCGCGGCCGCGCCCGCGGCCGCGGCCGCGGCGCCCGCGCTGCCGCCCATCGCCGTCGCCCTGGACGGCCTCGACGGCCCCCTGCGCGACCGCGCGGTCCGCGGTCACGCCGAGGCCGTCGCGGCGCACGGCGACGACGCGCTGCGGGGCTTCCAAGTGTCGGCGAGGAGCGAGGGGAAGAAGGAGGTCGTGCTGGTCCCCATCTTCGAGTCGCCGGTGGGTGGCAAGAAGTACAACCGGTTAGCTGCCTTGGCGCGGCGGGTCGACATCGGCGACGCCGCGCGCCGCGACGCCTTCCACGGGACCAGGGAGCACTTCAACGCGCGCGTCGAGCGGGCGGGCGGCGAGCTTTTCCTGTCGCGGGAGGTTTGGGCCGAGGTCCAGGGGACCGTGACGACCGTCGCGCTGGGCATCGCGCGCGTCGACGCGCTGGCCGAAAAGTACCCCGAGTGCCGCCAGCTCCGGGAGGTGCTGGCGGTGCCCTACACGTCCCCCGCGGACGCCCTCGCCGCGGTGAACGGCGCGGTCCGCGTCGTCGTCGCGCGGCGCGTCATGCTCCTCCGGACCCCCTCGTGTCAGATCCGCACGTTGGGCGTCGTCTCCTCGAGGCGCGCTGTGCCGTTCCGGCACATCGGCGACGCGGCGGCCCAGTTCGCGACCGAGGAGGACGCCGCCGACGCGTTCAACCGCTACGCGCGGCAGCCGCCGCGCTGCATCCCGAACCAGGGCGCGTCTCTGCTCGAGGCGCTGCAGGTCGTCGCCGCGGTCTACGACTTCGGCGTCGCGCAGCAGTTCCTGGGGGTCACGACGGCGCAGAGCCTCAATGGGTTCGTCGTCACCTTAGGGGTCCCCGGCAGCAGGTCGTCCAACGCCACTGTTCGGGTGAGCTCCGCCGAGGCCGCCGGGGTCCTGTACACCCAGGGCAAAGTCCACCTCAAGCGGCTCCAGGGCGAGGCGTTCACGGGCGACCGCGCGAACTTCGGCCTCGACGCCGACGTGCTCCCCGAGGACGCCGCGCGCTTCCTCGCCGCGATCGAGCGCATCTTCCACGAGGCCGACAAGTCCGGCCGCGCCGCCCCGGCGCGGGACGAAGCCGCGATCCTCGCGGAACTCCTCGGCGGCGACGACGACCCGGAACTGCCCGCGCCGCCGCCGGCGCCCGTCGCCGCCGCGCCGCCGCCCGCCGCCGCGTCGCCGCCGGCGCCCGTCGCCGCCGCGCCGCCGCCGCCCGCGCCCGTGGTGCCGCCCCCGGCGCCCGCGGCGGCCGAGCCCGACCTCTACTCGGAGGAGCGCCGCCAGCGCATCTTCCGCCACCGCAAGTTCATGTTCCGCAACAACCTCTTCACCAAGCCCGTGCCCGAGGAGGCCATCGGCAACGACGACCACCCGTTCTGGTACCTGCCGACCTGCCAGACCGTCTGGTAGAAGTTCGTCGCGGACCGCTCGCCCCGCTTCCTCGCCGGGGATCGGGGCCGAGTTCGCGGCGCCGCGCGCCCCCTCCCGCCCGCCGACGCGGCTCGACTCGTCCCGGGCCCGCGCCTCCCCCCGACCACGACCCTCCCCCTCGCTACCCACGCCTTCGAAATACAGCGTACTACTCGTAGCGACGTCCGCGCGTCGCTCGGGGATTCCGGGCTCGGCGGCCGAGGCGTCGCTCCGGGCCGCGACGCCGGCGCTTTGCCGTCGGCACGCGGCCCGCGGCGCCGGCGGACGCACCGGGGCTTCGCGGCGGCCCGACCGGGGCGCGTGACGGCGCGGGAGGCGCGGGAACGTTCCGGCGCGGGCGCGCGCGGTCCCGCGGTCCCGCGAAACCGCGCGCCGCTCGCCGCGATCGCGACGGATTTCCGCGATTTTTGGACGGATCGACGGCGCTCGGTCCCGCCGTCGCGGCGGACGCGGCGCGGCGTCGGCGCGGCGTCGGCGCGGCGTCGACCGCCCACGCCCGAGCACGAGGTCCGTGCCCGAGTACAGCGCGGCGCCGAGGCACGCCTCCAGCCGCAAGACGGCGAGCGCGTCGTCGACGAGCGACGGCGGCGGCTCCGACGCGGGGCCGGCCTCGAGCGTCAGGGACACGGCGCCGTCGGAACGGGAGGCGGCGACGGTGCCCGCGAGCACCGCGTTGAAGGACCCGGACGCGCCGTCGTCGAGCGCTTCCTTCGCGGCCGCGAGCGTCGCGTGGCCGCAAAACGTCATCTCCGAGCCGTCACACGCAAAGTAGCGCACGTCGTACGGGCCGGCGCCTCTGACGATCGCGGTTGGGCCGCCGTGCTCTGCGCGTTGCGCGAGCGCCGCGAGCTCGTCGTCGGCCGGCCAGTCGGCGACCAGCGCGACGCTGGCGGGGTTGCCGCCGCCGCGGCTTTTCGTGAAGGCGTGCAGCTCGACGGCTTTGAGCGCAGCGGCGGCCTGCAGCAGCATCAGGAGCATGGCTTTGCACCTGGCGCCGAGGCTGGGCGCCATGCCACTTTTGCCACTACTCGAGCTTGCACTGCACCTTGAACACAAAGAGGCTGCCCTCGACGATGCTGGGATCCTGATGCGATGCATCGATCCTGATGCGATGCTCCGCGTGATCTCCGCCATGCTGGCCTGCGTCGCACGCGCGCAAAGTCCCTTGCTGAGCGCCGCCTGCCGCGCCGCGGCCGCGCGCACGACGAAGCCGCTGCGCGACTGCATCAACCTGGCGCCGCCGTCCACGGGCACGCGCTCGCTCACGCAACTCATGGAGCTGTACAGCCCCTACGCGCACCACGACCACCGCGTCACCGTGGCGAACGTCCAGGCCGCCGACTTCGCCGCCGGGGACCCCCCAGGGGACGCCGACGCCGCGGCGCCCGCGCACTGGCTCCACCGCTACCGCGACCGAAACCTGACGACGCCGTCGTGCTTCGTGGTCACGCTGAGGGACCCGGCGGCGCGCGTCCACAGCTCCATCAATAATTGCCGCAAGGGCGAGAACTGCTTCAAGAAGAACCTGCACTGGTGCCGGGAGTTCGCGGCCTGGAATTGGACGGCCGACGCCGTCGCCGCCGCGTACTTCGACGAGACCGACCCGGGCCACGCGACGGTCAACGCGCGCACCTGCTGGGGCCTCGACATCTCCACGGCGCAGAAATACCTCGGCGGCCTGGACTGCGCGACGGCGGAGGTCCACTACGTCTGCACGGACCGGCTCCTGGAGGACTTTGCGGCGCTGGTCGCGAGACTCGGCGACAACGCCTCGAAGCTCGAGGCCCTCGAGCGCTCGGGCGCGGACCTCCACCGCACGGGCAACCGCTTCCGCAACGCGTCGCGGCGGCTCGCCGAGCTGAAGTACGGCGAGCGCATCGCGCCGTGGTACTCGTCCCAGCTCTCGGACGACGTGGCGGCGTGGCTCCGGGCGGACGTGTTCCCCGACGACGCGGCGCTCCACGCGGCCTACTGCGGGGGATAACAGCGCGACATTACGAGACCAGGTCGACGCCGACGACGATGCTCGCGCCGGGCCCGCCGCGCGCGCGCTGCGCGTCGAGGTGGCGGCGCGCGCCCGCGGGCTCGTCGGGCCCGGCGACGTAGAGGGACGAGGTCCGGTCCGGCCCCCCCGCGTCGAAGGGCACCCGCAGGGGCGACAGCGCCGCCGCGAGGGCCGCGGGGAGCGCGTCGCAGCGCGGCCGCCGCGTCGCGTAGACGTCGACGTGGAGCCGGAGCCCGGCCTTCTTCCGGCCGTCGTCGAGCACGCCGGCCGCGAGGTTGCCGGGCCAGGCGACGTGGGCGCCCGCCCGCGCGAAGACGACGAAGGTCTGCGCGTCGCCGACGACGCCCAGGGCCGGCCCGTCGGAGCTCAAAAACGTCGCCGTGGCGCACGCCGGCGTCGGGTCGGTCCTCTTCTCGGCCGTGTCGCCGTCGCGCTCGCACCAGAAGACGGCGCCGCCCCGGCCCTCGGGGAACGCCGCGCTCGCCGCGTGGAAGTCGAGCACGTCCGAGACGAGGCGTTCGACCGCGCAGCGCGCGTCGCCGCCGCGCGGGAGCCAGAAGCGCCGTCGCGCCGGAAGCTTCGTCGCGTCGTCCAAGAGAAGCGTCGTCTCCCCGAGCGCGCCGGTCCAGGCGCGCGCGACGGGCTCCGGCGCCGCGGGCGCCTCCACGAGGTCGAAGGCGAGGTCCATGGGCGCGGAGCGCTGGGCGCGCCGCGGGCTACGGTGATACTTACGACCAGACTAGTAGAAGCCGCCCTGCGGGCCCGTGGGCTGCGGCTCTTCGCCCTCGCCGGGGGCGACGGCGAAGCGCTCGCCCACGCTCTTGACGTGGCCGACGGAGCGCTCCGCCATCGCGATCACGCGGCGCGCGCCGAGCGCCTCGTAGGCCGTCGCGATGCCCGTGTTGTGGTGCTTGCACATGTTTCCGGCGGGAATGCGGGTGCAAGCGCGGTGGTCAACCTCGGACCCCGCGAACTTGCACCCTGGAATCCGACACTTGCCGTTCGGGTTCCGCTTCGTCGCGTTCATGGCCATCGTGAGGCAGCGATTGTTGAAGTTGAAGATGGCGCGGGCGCGGGTTGCTCCTTTTTTCCAGAGCCACTTCCCCGCGAGCCAGCACGTCCACTCGCGGAACATGATGCCCATGAAGGGAATCCAAGGTCGCACGTTGAGCGCGAAGCAGAGCATCAGGTACTCGAAGGTGTCGTCGCTGTGGAGGGGCAGGCGCTCGGTCAACCACGCCGGCGCCGGGTCGGACGGCACCCAGCTGAAGACGCAATTCTTTCGCATGTCCGTCACGACCGACGGCCCGACGCCCGCGGCCCAGAGCCGCGCGAGGTCCTCGTAGGTGCCCGCGAAGCGGCGGGGCTTCTGGTCGCCGGGCTGGAAGAGGAAGTCGGCGACGGCGACCTGTTTCTTGGGGTTGCCGTTTTGCGGGTCGAAAGGGAGGTACCCCACGCACATGACCGGCGCCGGCGACATCCCGTTCTCGAGGTGGCCGTAGTCGTACTCCGCGGGGTATAAGATGGATCCTATGAATGATGATGATCGCGTGATCTCGTTGTCGTGGATGGGCTTCTCCCTGGGAACAAACCGCGCGTCCAGGTCCGTGTCGTCCTCGGGCGCGCTATCCGAGTCCTCGAACGTCGCGCCCGTCAGCTGCGACAGCTGCGACGCGGGCCGCGGGGAGCCGTCGATCTGGAGGGACGTCGCGTTCGTCCGCGCGAGGTCGAGGCCCGCGACCTCGACGTCGGCATCGTCCTCGTCGTCGGCGGCGTGCGCCGGCGCCTCCTGGGCCTCCTGCGCCGCGTGGGCGTCGCGCACCTCGAGCGCCTCGCGCGCCGCTCGGACCTGCTCTGCCAGCGCCGCGAGCTCCGCAGCTGACATGGAACCGAGGTCCATGACGTCCGGTGCGACGCACGCGCGACGGTCTTCGCTGTCACGTGCCAGCTGGACAAGTCCTTGTCCAAGGACGCGGCAGTGACGCGCGGCGCTCCGTTGCGTCCTTCAAGCCTCTTCAAGGATCGGCTCGCTGCCGCGCCGCAGACGTCGACGCGCTCGGCGCGCTCCAGGGCGCGGACCGCGCGGCCACCGTGGTCAGCGCGTGTTTTCGGGGGCGCCACCCGAGGGCGTTCGTAGTTTAGTGGGATGCTAGGCCTACTCGCCCTTGAGGATCTCGATGGCCGAGGCGGCCCACTCGCGCGCCGCCTGCTTCGCGACGGCCGACTCCAGCTTCTCCCACCCCATGTCCGTGGCGTCCTTGACGATGCTCAGGTTGCAGGCGCTGCAGCACGGGAACCCCCGCGCGTAGTACTCGATGGTGCCGTTCTCGAGCACGCGGAAATAGTGCTCGAAGACGCGGCCGCCGCGCTTCCTCACGTCGATGTCGCAGACGTTGCAGCGCATGGTTCCGATGGGCGGCTTGCAGAACAGGTGCTGCGCCTTCTGCATCTCCACTTTCGTCTGGTAGCCGCGCGCGCCCCCCTCGTTTTTCATCTCCTTCTCGAAGTAGATGCGCTGGAGCTGCTGCAGGCGCGCGCCGTATTCGTCGGAGGCCGCGGCGCTACCAATCTGTGCCGTTCGCCGGCCGTCCGCGCGGTCCTCGCCCGCTTCGACGTGCCGCTGCAAACTCGCTTCGCTGAAGACTTTCTCATTCGACGCCGTCTTCCGCTTCTTCCGCTTACCTTTGGAGTCCCGAAAACCCTCCCATCCTCGCTTCTTGCACTCCTTTTGTTTTTCCCGCTCCCAAATGCTCAACGGCTTGCC